TAATTTTATTCCGATTTTCCCTATTTTAGTTCTATTACGGTTTCGCGGACTGTCTGTGTTAGCCAAGTGAATATACCCCCTGCCCATAGGCTTCCGTCACTTTACACAACTTGATGTGAAGTAGGCGAACAAAATTAGTTACTTTCATATTGGTACGCATACTTCTGGAGCGCCCATAAATGGACACAAACAACTCTCGGTGCTCCCGAAGTATGCGAACCAAGATGGCGGACATCGGAACGTAACATGGGTAACAGGTTAGGGTTAGGCGATAATTTTTTTCCAATTTTCCTTATTTTAGTCCTATTATCAGTTCGGGAACTAGCCAAGAGCATACTTCTGGAGCGCCGTTGTGTTTACAGTGAACGACATTCCTTTTGACAGCTGAAGTTTGTGTTAATTGCACCGCAATATGAAATCTAATTAACAGATGGTTAACACTAGTATTCACACATTATGATTGATGTAATTGGTTGTAGTGTTATTTATAATTAGTTCTCAATGTCAATTCCATCCGGAATGAGTTATAACAGATAATAGGCTAAGTTGAACCGGAAAGACCTTTCTTAATATAGCGATAGTGTAGACATTTGGTAGACCATGGATTCCCAATGTGCTTCATGCTGAGCCCAAATCTTTGCGAGAGAAACCAATACGCGCTCCTTGAGCTATTCGTTAACTTATCATAATACTGAATACTTTTCAAATACAAAGCAGAAAATACATCTTAGTCATTAATTAAGTTATTTTAGTTCAATCAGTAACATTAATCAGTATTTAACAAAACATTAACACATTTTTTTGTTTTTATTGAATTTATTGTGGGGCTCTAAAGATAATAGTCAACCACTTCACGGGATTCATACCACCAGAAGTTTGAGAACCCTGCGGTATGCAATGCCTAATAAAAAGATTTCGTTTTTTTTTTTCAAATTGTAGCCACTTACATACCAGTGTTTGACTGCACCAAGCCTTGTTTAGACTATAGGCGTCGAAAACGCGTATAAAGTATGAAATAACAAGTCAAATTTGTGCTTGCAACAAAAGCAAAAAAAAGCAAAATTCCCACCCACGTTCAAAATTAATTTGAATTATTGTTTATGTTAAAATACCTAATCAATGAGTTTCATGTGATAAGATACAAAAGCCTCAAATTAACGGATTTGTTTGACTTAATATTTAAATTTAAACTTACATAGAAAACTGCGACTTAGAAATAAGAACTGACAATTATTGCTTAATTCGTTTCAACTTTGACGTAAATATTTTTCTTTTCTTACGACAAATGATTGGCGATAACAAATACCGAAATTTTCCATAATCCATGTTCAGACCGTTACCGTTATTTTTGGGTTACCGATGTTTTTTACGTTAAAACGTATTTCGGAAAAATCATACATTTGAAGAACTGAGACTTGTACAATAGGAAATGGCATTAATCGTTTAATTCGTTTCGTCTTTGTCGTAATTTTTTTTCTTTTCTTACGATAAATGATTGACTATGACAAATACTAAAAAATGACCATAAATTCATGTTCAGACCGGTAGCGTTTTTTTCGGGTACCATTTTTCCACGCTAAAATATATTTTGATAAAACTATACACATAGAAAACTGTGACTTAAAAATAAGAACTGACAATTATTGCTTAATTCTTTTCAACTTTGTCTTAAATATTTTTCTTTATTATGATTGGCGATAATAAATACCGAAATTGCCCATAATCCATGGTCAGACCGTTACCGTTATTTTTGAGTTACCGATGTTTGTTTTACGTTAAAACGTATTTCGATAAAATAATACATATATGAACTAAGACTTGAAAAATAAGAAATTTGTTTCGTCTTTGTCGCAACTATTTTCTTTATTTTTTTTTACGACGAACTGTTGACAATAAAAAAGAGTTTTATACCGAATAACGATCATAATCTCTTTCCAAACCGGAGCGGTATTTTTCGGTACTGGTGACGTTTTTTATGGTTTTTATGCTGATGTAAAACCTCTTTCTCAAAAAACGTAAAAATCAACAAGAAACATTTTCATACGATCATTACTTAACCCGTCCGGTATTTTTGACGTAGGATTAAAAAAAAATATGACCAATTACGTAACATCATGCCCAAACCGGTACCGGTAGTATTCGGTACCGATATTTTTACGGACGTAATGCTGACGTAAGATTCAAATTCTCAAAAAACGCGAACGTAAATAAAGTTAAAATGAGATGTCACGCACGTATTATTATGTCATAAACGTACTTAGCTCGGGGGTAATTCATACAGTACGGCGGCTCGGTTGACGATTTTCACCAGAAATTTTGATTTTACAAGATGTCAATAATTTTGCCTGATTTTATAGTAATAACATTTGTGAATTTAAATAAATTTTATTGTATGATAGTTGAGAACTACAAACACAATGAGAACTATTAATAAACGAATACAAAGAAATTTCTAATTGTTATTTCTGAAATTTTTCTTTTTATTCTGTTGTGGCCCATTTTCAGTGTCAAATAAACTTAGGCCTGCAGGACCTTTATTAAAAATTTCGGTTAACATTAAAAAAAAATTATTTTTTTTTCATTAAATATGAACAGTAAAAGGGTCAAAGACCAAACTAATTCTTGTTTCTATTTATCAGCTTATCAAATTGAACTTCCAAACTTTGGTTCAATCTCAGCCGTCAATTTTTCATCGGACTTGCTGTGGGCCCAGTGAAATAAGGGGCTATTTCAAAAATCATCAGGTCCACTAGTTCAAGCGACACTTAAATAGATGAATCACGAACCGTTCCGGTACCGTTAATTTTATTTTTCCGGCTAAACCGCAATTCTAAAACGTAATGTATTCTGTCAACAATCATCCCTGATAGCTTATCAATGATCGATGACAAATACTAATGATTTAAATGGTTTTATAGATTCGCCATTTTGGTTTTTAGAGCCCCAATTTCCTCCACATAGTCTGCTGGTAACTAGCCTTGATTTGGGTCAGGGGCGTACCCAGGATTTTTAAAAATGGATAGGGAGGAGGGGGGCCAAGGCTAGAATCGGAATCTAAAATTCCCATGCAACGGTTTTTAAAACAGGCGCCGCGATTGCGCAACTGCTTTAGTTCTAGTTTTCATGCTCAAAGAAGGTAAACAATGTCATAAGATAAGACATAAGAAGTCTTTGCAATAATTTAGCGTATAAGGACGTAGCCAGAAAATTGAGGATCGGAGGGCCCTTTTGAAATGTCAAAAAAAAAAGCATTTTTTGTTTCATTCATACCGATTTTCGTAGCTTGAAATACTTCCCTCAAGTCCCTTGAAAGCCCACTCTTCATAACGCTTGATCATAATTGATACATTATTAAAATTCATAAATTTGAAAATTTTTTTTTTTTCCAATTTTACATCTTTTTTCTTTTTAGACGATCTAATCATCCAAAATAGGGGTTATTTCTGAGAAAAAAAATTTGTTACGCGTTTTTTTTTTTGGTTTTCTTAACTTGAGTTTTTTTTATTCTGAGTAAGTGAGTAAAAACTATTTATTTCTAAAGCAAAACACTAAGAAACACTCAAATAAGTCGCCATTTTATATTTTCCCAATTTCACACCACCCCTTGCGCTTACGCGGTAAAATAGATTCAATTAATTTATTTCGTAAGTTTACAAATTGGCTCAATATCTCGCCATTTTTGAGTTTGTGTCGATGGGAAAGTTGTGAAACGAGAGATCGTCTTTTATTGTGTATCGCCCGCTAACTGACTGTAATTAAATTTAACAGCGAACGCACCGACAGGGGTCGCATTTATAAGTTAATTAAAAGGATTATTTTCTTACTCATTGGTCGATTCGCACTTTATCGATGGGAACTCATGATGAAAATATTATTATATGGAGTGAAGCTTACTCAAAAGTAAATTAAAATTGTTGTAAGACTCGAGAGATATTTTTGGTTGATGATATTTTGCGGACGCAATGGCTTAAAGCAGTTATTTCAAACAATTTCAGCTACATATCTTATTTTGTTCATTTCGAAATCCCTCATTTTTCCGCATGAAACCGTTTTTAATTTTTTTTAGCCGTAGAGATTTTTGCCGATGTTATTTTGTGGGTGTGGTAGCTTTTAGGTTTCTGAAACTTGTAAAGACGATTAAACCCTTTGCTAAGTACCATTCGTGACATCTATACCAATTCAAAGTAAATTAAATGTGATTTGTTGAATTATTTGACTGGCATATTTATTCCGCTACTTTCGTTTTTAATTCTGAACCCCGATCAATCAGTTTGGGAACCACTGGTTCAATGCAACAAAAAAGCAGTGTTTCATCCCGCATATCAGCCTACAAGTTTTGCATGGGGGCAACTGCCTTATTTTTGTTCAGCGCCCAAAAACGAATTAATAGCAAAACCCAGATATCTCACTGCAAAATTCTAATTCATGTGAATAGTCCAGCCATTTCCGCGAGGATTTATATCAATATAGATGAATATTAACACCGATCTTACGTCATTTGGTTGAGATTTCATACGATACCAAAATACATCATCAAGTCTCCCGAACCACTGAGAACCGTGCTTCATATTATTATTTTTATAAGCAAACCCAAATTTTAAATTTCTTTCTATATTTCAAACGAATATTAATATAATTTTATGTCATGGAAACATTTCGAAAAATGAATGTAACTAAAAAAAGAAATATTACATAACGATATTTCGTAACACGTTTCTTCCTAATAAAACTTCAGTATGTAATTAACCTTCGCCGTAGATTTTCACAATACAATCAATTAAAACTGTTAACACTGGGCAATTAACTTTGCCCTTCAGGGCTTGGTAGCTTAAATTGAAATAAAAATCGATGTCATGTCGCTAATTATATTTTTCTTTGTTTTTGCATGTACTTGGATGACCTCCGCGACCTTCTGATGACGATAATCATTTGATTAATTATGATGGCATAATTTGACAAAAACCAATTCCCGTGTGACATAACAATAGTTCGCGCCAAATATGGCGATGGTGGCAAGCGCTTGGCGGGATCCCCCACATATACCCCCTGATGACGTAACAAGGTCTCAGGTACCTTCGCAAGTTCCCCCTCCCCATGACCCCGGCCCCTCACAGCACCATTCCTCCATGGCGCCACAGCCACCACAATCAGTCGGCCCGCCGCCACATTTACCTCACCACGTGCCACCACCTTTACCAACGACGCCAGGACATAATGTGCCTCCCACTTTGGGGGAAGTCCCCTGTAACGGCCCCCCACAAACCCCAACTACACCAGGAGGAGGGTCAGTCGTCAGTGATGGGAGTCTAGGCACCAGCATGGGTGAAGGATCAATGAGCCGATCGAATCAAAATGGAAATACGGGAAGTACAAATGGAGACAAATCACACATCGAATGCGTGGTAAAATGTTTATTTCAATTCTTTAGTTATTTTTTGTGTTTTTTCCATAGGTTTCAAAAGTGTGCTCAGTGCAAGTTCACGAGACCCGAGTAAAAACTTAAGAACAACTGCTTCACTAAGCGGTTGTTTTCCATACATGCTACTTTACTAAAGTAAGGTTCCGAACCTCAGCTCGAAAGAGAAAAAGTACTGGTATAAGAAGTACAAGTCACTGAGAAACTGAAAGATATATAATTCTTGAATTTCCTAAACGTTTTGCTTGAATAGTCCTAAAGGTCAAAGTTGAATCCATTTTGATTGATCAAACTTCCACGATTGTAGTCAGTCACATTTACCTTTTCTACCTATATTAGATGAAAGTACATTGCTTCCATATGTCATAATGGCACATGTGTAACTTTATATTTATTCAGTAAACACGTATAACTGTTTATAATACTAATCTGGTATTTGCAAAACGTTTTCTCGCGAATTTTCAGCTCGTACGAAAGTGACTTTGAAAAAATTTCACAAAGTCGTACGAAACGACTCAAGTTTAAGTATTCGACTCCCCAAGGAGTACGGGACCACCCCGATAATTGGCTTGTACTTTGTCACAGAGCCCTGCAAGCTTTTATAGCTTATATACGTTCCCGTGGGCCAATCTGGACTTGGGTATATAGTAAGTGGTGTAGGGTAGTGGTTGGCAACCGGTAATGTTCGAAACAAATCGAATATTCGAATACATTCGAAATTCATCATATTCGATATAATAAACTTTTGAATATAAGAATATTTTAGAACATTTTTATTTAGAAATTTGGGATTTTAATCCGCCAGACGGAATATATACAGGGTGTCCCAAAAATTTGAAATGTTTCCAAATTGGCTAAACTGGTACACAGCCTCGCGATTCTGGAATTGCCACGTTTTTGCAAAACCGTCATTTTTCCAGATCGGCACAACTGGTATACCACCCAGCCAATATATCACACACTTCAATTCAACGCTGTAACCATTAGCCCGCCGTGATTGCAGTTAAGTCAAAATGCTAGTTAAGCTGCAAAAACTTTACTATAAAAATAAAAATAAAATGAGATTTTAACATCATGTGACATAACATTTTTAAATCGATTTTTAATGACTTTTTGGACCGCAAATCAGACCTACCAAGTTGCCTAATTAACACCTTACATCAGTAGTTCTCAGCCGGGAAAGAATTCCCTCCCCTGGGAATTATTTTATTATTTTGAGTACTAAAATATTACTTTATATTCCATTTAGTATTACCAATGCTGTATTGTTTAGTTATTGTAATAGATATTTATGGACACAGTACAAACAGTACAGAGGCTGCAGGTTATTTCCGAAGTATGTGAACCAAGATGGCGGACACCAGAACGTAGTGTGTGTAGCAGATTAGAGTTAGGCCATAATTTTATTCCAATTTTTTTTATTTTAGTTCTATTACGAGTTTGGGAACTAGCCAAGTAACTCCTGTAGTATTTTTATCTGAAATTATGGCCTAACCCTAACCTGGTACACATATTACGTCTCGGTGTCAGCCATCTTGGTTCACAAAAAACGGGAGTACCAATTCAAAGGGTTGCCAACAGAGATGGTCAAACCGAATATGTTACTATTTCGAATACACTCTGAGAAAATATTACAAAATATGAAATATCGAATACTTTCTAAATTGGAGAAACGTTGATGTGGAAAATTACACAAATCGCTATATCTTCATGTTGATGATATCTGAAACAACATAAATATACAGTTGAGATATTATACGTTTTGATATAGATTGTCCAAGAAATCTTAATTTTTTTTAAATTGCAAAGTGAATTTATCGATACCATATACTTTTTCGGCCCTCACAGATGTATTGAATGAAATAAAAATACTTAAACAATTACTGATTAAAAACAACAAATCTGGTTAAGATATATTGAGAACTGACTTCATAACAAAATTGAAATTGTAAAAGGATTTTATGGATACCCTGTATAATTGTTCCTGTATATGAAAATAGAAAAACATTATTTTTTAAACTCAGTAAAGCTTTATTGCAAAGCTTTGATTTTTTATCACCATTGAAATGCTGCAATTTCGATCACGACTCAGACGAGTTTAAAGGTACGACTCCGGTTCCAGTCAAAAAATGCTAAATTCTGCTTCCACCGCCCTGAGTTGGGATAGAATTCGAGGTTGGAAATTACTTTTCTGAGTGGGTCCGTTACAAATAATGGACTTGATTACTGAGCCGAAGGATCAAAACTCAATATGGAAAACTATGAATAAAAACAGTTGATTTACAACAGCTAGACTAATGTTTATATAATAATAAAAAGCACAAAGTAACAATGTGGGTCATTATGACGTAATTTTCATCGATAATTTCAACGGAAATTTATTCCATAAAAACTATAGTCTTACTTCCAACAGATACAAGTGGGTCGGATGAAACATGTCGCTGGGACAGATCCGGCCCGCGGGCCGTAATTTACCCCACCGTGTGATAGATAAAGTCCATTTTCTTCCCGTAAGAATTTGTGAAAGGTCGTTTGAGTTCAATAGGATTATATATCAGCGCATTCATAAGTCTGTTTGATTTTTTGAAACTATTCAATGAATGGACATTTCTTGCAAGATCTTCCCAGGCTCGGAACAACGATTGTTGATAATTATCAAGCACTGATCATGCTAGATCCAAACGAATTCGAATTTTTGATTTGAGTAATGCTACAAAAAGAAATTGTAAACTTACATAGCGTTGTACGGTAACTTAAATCGTTTTTTTTTCAAACAACTTTCATGATTGTTTTGATCAGTTAGTCATAGGTAGTGGTATGAGTACCCAGAGTATTATTCTTCAATCACCACTCTTTTTTATATAGGGGAAAGCATATCACCAGAACAAATTTGAACTTCTAAATTTTAGTAAATCACCGATTTTTCCTATATCATGACTATAGCCTGTAGCTTGGTACTTGGTTTCCCTCTGTAACACGTCTATAAAGAATAATTCCTACTGGACACTGCGTTGTCTAAAGCTTTTCCGAAGTCCCTTGGGCCCAAAGTGTCGGTATCAAAACCTTTAACTGACCGTATACGTTAGATAATATGCAGGGCGTCGATAATCACAAGAGTCGCGAGTTAATGATATAAATCGCTGATATACTGGTGTGATTTTTCCCGTGGTTGTATTAACTTTCACTCAGTACAAGGCTTGGTATCCCGTAGTATGTGTACCATGTTAGGAATAGGCCATAATTTTATGCCGATTTTCCTTATTTTAGTTCTATCACGAGTCGGGACTGTCTGTGTTAGCCAAGTGAATACACCTTCTGTCCATAGGTTTCAGTCCCTTTGAACAACTTGAGCGAAATTAGGTAAACGAAATCAGTTCTGACACTGCCGCGTAGATAGCTTTTCGAGCTCGGTCTACGAATAAAAATAATTCTTCATAAGTGGGAATGCGATCCTGTGCATTGTTTGCAATCTTCCTTTGACCTGCCAGTTGCTAAAATTTATAACGGGAGCTATTAGCATTAAACAACTGCTAGTATAATTTGACTAATCTTTTTAAGTTTAAGTAAATATATAGTCTAGCAACAATTACGTCATTCTGTGGGGGGAGGGGAATAATAAAACAAAAATAAATTAGTTCATTTTTTCAATTGCCCTCTTGATGTGGTAAATGTATATTGCAGTAAAAGTGTGATGTAACATATTATCGCGCTCATCTGGGACCAGATGAAAGCTAAAGTCGGAAGTATTAGATATTATATTACAAAGACACAATTACTAAATATTTGACATGCCTTGATGCTAAGTTTATTTGATAATCATCTCAGTGGTTCCAAACTTTTTCGTTAAATTTTCCTTTTTTTCTTTTTTGAAGAGTGTTTAGATGCTTGACTAGTGCGAGTTGCACAATCGCTTCTGTACAGTTTGAGTATTTTTCAATTTGCCTATACGATTGGCTCGTATATTGTAGGAATAATAAAGAATTGATACAAAGCAAAATTCCTCCTCAAGAACAACAAAATTTCACAGGGCAATTCCCGATTGGAAAAAGGGGTTTCACTAACTAGGCCATATCGTCCACAACTTGAATAGATAAATAAATTCCATAATATACATTATACACTAATTAAAATGAAGAATTCTGGAGAGCGATCGAAACCTTTAAAAACAATATAAAACACCAGCAGACACACAAAATCACCAACTTAGCAAAACTAGGCTTGGGCCAGAAGTAAACAAACAAAGGACCTCCTGAAGTATGCGCACTAAGATGGCTCAGGTTGTTTACCAGGTTAGTGTTCAGGTTGTGCGACATCTTGGTGCGCATACACATGAGTACCCAAACAAAAATACGCGAATGTATTAAACATTTGGGCTGTTCTGCTTCTAAAACACTTAGCTAATAATGACAAATTCAATCTGATAACGGTAACGTAAAATCTTTTCTCTTTGTTCAGGTCTGTGGTGACAAGTCCAGCGGGAAGCATTATGGCCAATATACGTGCGAAGGATGCAAAAGTTTCTTCAAACGAAGCGTACGGCGGAACCTTTCTTACACATGCAGAGGGAATCGGAACTGCCCTATGGATCAGCACCACAGAAACCAATGCCAGTATTGCCGGCTACGAAAATGCATTAAAGTCGGAATGAGACGTGAGGGTGAGAGTTATTGCTCGTTTTACATTGATAGTTTGTGCGCTCCGGAATTATACGTACCAAGATGACGCACAACCTGAACCCTAATCTGGTACGCATACTCTATGTTCAGGTTGTGCGCCATCTTGGTACGAATACTTCGGGAGCACCATAGTTTGCATACCAATCTACGCAATTCGAGAGCCCTTCTGCACAATGTTGATTGTTATAAACTGCTTGTCTGGGGAAGTCTGATTTTGGTCAGGCAAAACATTACAGAAATATATTTGTGTTAGTGTGCAGCAAGACTCTTGAATTGCATAGAATAGTCATTTTCACTTTTGCTACAGCATCCTTGAGTTATACGCATACGGATCCACTAGCGTAAAGGCATTGAGAAAGGATTAGGAGTTAGTTTCGCGCAAACCCTACTGATAGTTACAATGACAGTTTGTATTCCTGTGGCCGCGTATGACTTTGTTTCAAAAATAAGCCTTCTTTACATCTGTGTGAGTTCGTTTAATGCCACAATTTAATAGCTTCTGGCATTTTATTGCCCGTGACTTAGTTTAAAGATAAGCATGCTTTGCTTCTGAGTGAGTGCGCGTAACATTGCTCAGAAATTAGTCTGCTTTACTTCTGAATGACGTAACTTTGCTTAGTCTCCTTTGCTTCTGAGTGAGTGCCTGTAATGCAAAAATCGGACCTCCAGAAATATGCGCACCAAGATGGCGCACAACCTGAACATATTATGTGTGTACCGGTTAGGATTCAGGTTGTGCGACATTTTGGCGCGCATACTTCTGGAGCACCCAGAAATCGATGTCCTTTGGCATTGTAGTAGTCGCCCTTAACTTTTCCCATAGATGAGTTTTTTTTTTCTACCGAGTGAGAGTCCCAACCATAAATTTACATAGCTCCAGCAAAACATCACATTTTAGAGGGATGGACCTCTTTTACTTGTAAGTGAGCTTGCAAAATGCCATTCACATTCGCTCTTTGTATTCCGGTGGTCGCTTCTTGATTAAGATTATCACCGAGATAATTTAACGCCATTTACAACAAATTAAAAACATTTTTCAATATATTTTCTTGCGCACAAAATGTTTCTGTGTGATTGACATTTGTTTCCCAAAAGTGGTCACGAGTCCTTGCAACAAATTTAAAAATTTTCAATGTATTTTTTGTCACCGAAGTGACACGCCATACAAATTAGGATAATTATAACACCGTGCAAAAAAAGCGTCTTGTTTAGACATTGTTATTGTTAATTCGATATTTATAGCACAAAACGTGGAAAGCAATTAAATTTTCAGGTCATGTCATTGAAATAGGATATTTTTTGTTTTATATTTTTAAACAATTTCACTCAGGATAGCCACATTTTTAAATTTAGGCTATAAAGCCATGTAGACAATTATTAAGACGAGTAATACAAGACGAGACATAATCTGCAATATATTGACGATAAACATCTTGCGCAGAGGTTCGGTCCAGACAGCTCTCTGTATGGCTCTTCAATTGACCTCTACCGAAAAGGTCATTCAAATGGGTGACCTAGGTGGGCCATATACCCATCCATTTCTCAATTTTAGTCACGTTCTTATACTCAATGTAACGTTTTAACACCCCCCCCCCACAAAAATAAAACTAAAAAAGATCCCCTTCCCCCACACCCTTCAAATATTAATAATATTGAGGATCGCGTCCTTGAACTGACCTTGTCGTCAGACAGTTCACAAAATTACGTGTTTATCGTGTTTATATTACTTGTAAATTATTTTTGAGAGACAAATAAAAATTAGGAAAATCAACGAATTTGACGTGTTTTTGAGCAAAATGATCTGAAAAGACTTGTCAACTTGTCAAACAATGACACGGTGGTTTACATCGTATAATTACTCTTCCCAAAGTAACGCAGTGTTTATATTTACCCAAATTTGCACTATGAATAGCCAGCCATGTCAGGTTTTCAAGCATTAAATTTTTTCCATGCCATAAATGTTGATCGGGCCTTAGTTAAAACGAAGTTGTTCAACATAAAACCCGTTTAAGATAGCGAGACTAATTGAATTGTCTTTTTAAATTTTCGATTGTCCGAAATTTACACCCAAGCTGTCGGATCGTTTAATTCAAAGGTCATTTCAATGTCACCCGTGTAATACGCGTGTAACATACAAGCTTTCTCAAATTTAAAAATGGTGAACAAATTTTGGTATAGAGGAATGGTTTTCCGTCCTTGTCTATAAATTTCTCCTGTTCTAATTTTGTGTCGATTCATTCTTCCCTCATCAAGCACAATACAAACACTGTTTCAATTATTTGATCGATATTTACGAGTCTGTAACTAGTGTCACTCGCAACTCGCACTGCGCCGTTTGCACAGTTTGAATAGTAGATCCATGGATGAAAAAAAATAAGAGAATTTGGTTTAGCGTTTCTCCGGGTTGTGAAGTATATTTTGATTTCAACTCCGAATTTCCACCTAAAAAATTTATTTTTGATAGTAAAAACTATTGCGTACGGGAGCCTTCTTTGAAGCCTTTGAAGCTGCGTATGAGAGCCTTCTTAAAAGTGCTTGGCAAACTTACTACCAGCTGAATTTCTGAAGCAAAAGTGTTGAAAGAGAGAATTTTGTCTTGGTATAGCGTTCGACTCCAGTGAAAACATGGTAAACTCTAACAGCCTTGAAACAAACGTTAGTACTTTGAAATAGTAAAAGTTGAGCTGTTTTGAGAAAATGATTAAAATTTATTATTTTGATTTTGAAACTCTTGTGTATTTTTTAATCAAATTTCAAGTTTCGCCTTTTTTTATTATTCCGAAACCCTCTAAACTTGTGGCTAATCCTTTAAAATTCATGTTCTACCTAATTTGCATCAAATGGATCAAAAGACATCAGTTTCCGTAAAGAATTAGCGAAAACGATTAAAACACGCCGATCAGCCCAGAAAGCGCCTAATTTCATGAATATTTAATCAGGGAATGTTCACAATCAAGTAATAGTGACAGCATGGGATTCGTAGAGTGATGAACCGCATAGACAAGCTTTTTTAATGTTATACTGCAATTTTATTTGCCGTTTGCGTTGAACACGAACGCCTTTTACTCTGCTCAAGGGTCCACATCAGAGGTGGGCAACCTGCGGCCCGCAGACCAAATGCGGCCCACAAGGAAAAATTGTGCGAGGAGATGTTCCAATTTTGATTGGTGTGCGGACCGCAAAACGGGTTTTCAATTCAATTCGGTAGTAATTCCAATCCCTTTGCGTTGCAAAACCTGTACTTATGACGTTACAATGTCTTAACAGCTAGCTTGTGTGAATCGAACAATGAATGATCAATAGACCAAAATTGTTGTGAAAGCAACTTCTAGAAAGCCTATGAAGGCCCGCGGTTTCATCCAGTTATATTTGGCTCTTCTCCTCCAATACGGGTGGAACAACATCAAATACAAAGTAATATTTCCTCTTAAAAGCACAGCATTTTTATTAGCCAGGAATTACTCTTTAGTTGAGCCCCGCTGGTGTGAGCTATCTATTACATCCTAAGTCTGACGGTAGGCCTAAGGTCAACACCCGTTCAAAGTCCTGCTTGAAGTAAAGTCATGAAAACGCATCATCGGAAAAATAATTTTTTAGATTTTAATCTCAGTTTAGCAATTCATCGAAATAAGTTGAATTTTTTTTAAAGTGTATATTAACGGATATTCAGATTTCATCAAAAGACTCCAACTACCACTTATCGAGACAACATTAAACTGGAATATAGGGGTCCCATGGGTGTCGGACTCATGTCCGATACTGGCGCATGTTGATTTTAAATGGCGCAATCTTTATAATACCAGTTCGATTAACGATTAATAAATTGAGTAATCTTTACGCCGAACTCGAAAGACTATGGTCCTTTGATAATATAGTAGCTTAGCATATATAGTCAATGCCGTCGAACAGGATGTGCAAGGCACTCTACGCATCTGAAACGAACTACTGGCTGATTCGGTGTTTCTCAAACGGTGGGTTGCGCCCCACACAATGGGGTCATAGACAATATTTGGAAGGAACGTGAAACTAATTAAAATCCAAATACTTGTTAGATTGATCTTGCCCGCCTTATTTTAGATATTTACATTTCTCTTTTGTTTATAGATTGCGATTCCATCCATGTATTTTTAACGTGTTTCTTTAATAAAACATACTTTCGTCTTACTATATGTTATTTGTAGCTTATTGTTAGCGAGTTATTTTTTAGGTGGGGTTCGAAACTTGACCAATTCTGAAAAGGGGGGCGCGGTGTAAAAAGTTTGAAAACCGTTGGGCTAATCCCAAACGCGACATGGACCGGTATAATCGGACGAGACTGTTAACTGGACGGTATTCCGATTCTGTGTAAGGGTATTCGAATTCCATCCGCGGATTTCTCTTTTTTATTGAAAATGAAACATTGAAATCCGCCATTTTCTTCATATATATTGCTTATGCAAAACCGTTTAGTCCTGATCTCTGATCTTTCCGAGAAAAATTATTAGTTTATGCGCATGGGAAAATTTTAAAATTAAATAATATTATTAATCGAAAAGTTTTCTCATGAAATCGCATAAATGTATTAATTTATCACATAAGAATTCCAACCAACTTATGACCGCACCTCACTTGGAATATAATGAATTTGATAGGCTGTGCCAAACTGTAAAATTCCGATTTTTTAAAGTTTAGCATCTTCTTATTTTGCGGGGTCTGTTTTGAATATAGGCAGAAGTCCGGTGATAGCAATGCGTGTTTTCTAGAAGAGTATGACTGGCTCGTTTCTTTTTGTTGAAATCAGACACTCATAAGCATATCAAGTAGCCTTAACAATATTATATGGATAGTTAAAAACCTGTTGGTTTACCATTTTTCCTAGCATCTATCAATAATATCGCTATTAGATTACCAGTATTACTTTTTCGCATTTCCAATATCCTTGAAACGCGATTTTCAGTTTATTTCACATATTGGTCATTTTAAACATGGTGTTTTCGCATGATGACTGCATGTCATTGGCACGTGATACAGTGTAGGTTAATTGAGTTCGCGACTTTGTCTGATTTGCGTTTGTGCTAGTAATACCTAAGGAACTGGCAAGTCGTTTTGCGTGCAAAAAGTCATCCGAGTTCATGGTGACGTGACAAAATTGAAAATCATAATAAAACAATGTAAAAAATTATCATATTATGATAAACAGAAGTCAGAGAAAATCTCTTGTTACGCCATAAAGATATCAATGCATGTCACAATTGACCTAGCCTCAGGCCAGTCTGCACTTTTCGTCTGAATTGAGGATTAGCGGGAAAAAAATGGCGGCTCATTTTCAGTCACTTTTATTTTCAACTTGAAGACTAAAAAAATATTAACGCAACCTAGCGTGTAGCCAAAGTTGGTAAAATGGCTTTCGGACCGCCCTAATAGTCAAAGGTTGAAAGCGGGTATGAGGACCGCCCTTTGCACCTACAAATGGCATTATGATGTCACCTTTCACATTGTGACGGAGCTATATTATATTTAGACGTTTTTTTGGCACTTTTTTAACAATATATATAACATTATGTTTTAAATAATTTGTTTTCCTATTTTTACCAACAACAATATCAAAACAAGTTTTTACTGTCATGGATAAACTAAATTTGCTAGATGTTTGAAGTTGGTTATGTGACGAACCGACAAAAAGTCATGCACACCCATGCAATGTTCCCTCTAATTTCTTGTAGTATGTGTGCGCAGAACTTTTGGTATGTGCGCACTTTTTTGGAAATGGCTAATATTTGTGCAAAAACCAATGAAGAAATTTTGGCGTTCTAACCGGGTAATGGGTGGGCCAACAACAAACTTTCTCAACCTGCCAACCGAGAAAATTGTTACATTACATCGAAATACGTCTGTGCGCAGTAAATCTATGCGTGTGCGCAGCCTCTGAAAGCTGTGTGCGCGCGCACACGCGCACACCTTAGAGGGAACACTGCACCCATGTCTCAGAAAGAACAAAACTTTGTTTCCACCTCATCCAAGGTGAAATATATATTGGGTGAATAATACCGCACCGCGAAGATTCAGGCCCATTCAAACTATGGTAACTTCTTACCTTGAAGTGACGGATTGAGCAGAGCTTTGTTCGAGGAAAAAACTTATTCTTTTTGTACTCGCTTGAACCGAAAAATTCTTGGAAATTTTCTGTCTAGCCGGTTGTGAATCTGTCTTTAATATTAACGAGCGGCACCATATGATACGCGACTATTTTTCTATTTATATTTGTATTAAAATTGACATTCGGCCTTTCAACTTTGACCGGAAATAGTACAAAATCGCGGAAGTAAGTTAAACAATCTTAATAATACGTGAGGTGATTCGGGTTTACGACAATTTGGCTCGTAACTTCACGTTCAAATCGGGTTAAAGGTCATACACGAAAGACGAACTCGATCGACCTGTGGCAGGCTTGTTTGTACAGTATTAGAAATATTGCTCAAAGCAGAGACACTCGCACTCCTTGAAAATTAAATGAGACTCATTTTTGGGCAAAGTTGCAGGCGACTGAAATGCCAAGAATGTACAGCTATTTAAAAAAAAAATAGAACATGGTGGGCTAAAAGCCTAGAAAATTCCGGTTATCAGCCTGCCAATCTTTTACACCCTATGTGAGGTGGCGCTCCGTTTGTTCGAGGAAGTCTGGAATCTATGCTCAGTTACAAAAACACATGTGTGTTTGAGTACAGCAAACGCGTAATGCACCGCCATAAATCTACATAGTTTCGGTAGCTCTTGTTCAGTAGTCGTCCGTAACTTTACTCAACGATGAGTTTCTTTTATTTCCGAGTGAGTGAGCTTTACCTTAATTCAAAAAATATACAACATGACGTGCTAGAAGGCATTGTAGTATTGGTGGTTACTGCCTATTGATAAGTACATTTGTTACCATCTGGATGAGGTGGTGCACTGTTTGTCCCGAGAATTATGAAGTCTGTGGCCAGACTAACCTTTACAAAAACTCATTTGTGTTTTGTGCATCAAAACTCTAGAACGGTGTTTTTCAACTTTTTTTTTGTGGTCCATTTTAGTTGCGCAAAAATTGTGTGGGAAACTTCTTCATACAAGGGAATAACAAAAAAATAATTTCGCAAAAAATAGGACACTTTCACTTTGATAATTAGTGATAATGAAAGTTACTACTGACAAAAGATCCTCATCATTCATTGCTACTACAATCAACTTTATCTATAGTGAGTAGTGACACAAATAAAACTAGCAAATTTTAATTGGTCTGTGGCTATTCTCTAATTGTTTACGTGGCCCAGTAAAGAGCCGTGGTCCACTTGTTGAGAACCGGTACTTCTAGAATCACATTGCAAATGTCTTTTTATTTAAGTAAATATTTACAATGTTTGTGTACTGTAAGAGTATTGAATTGAACTGCAAATATCTGAAAAATGTCTCTTAAAAATATTTACGACGTAGCAATATATAAATTCTCCGTTATGTTGCATTCTTTAGGTTTAGACGACTATAATAAAGCAATATCGAAAAAAACGAAATTAGCAAAATACAATAAAACATACAAATAAATCTGGAAACCGCACTTGAGAACTCCACCATGCATATAAGTAGCTTGTATTAACGCATCACTGGAAATTGCCTTGATATGAGTGAAGCAAAGAAATATTAAAAATAAGCGAAATTTAAACTTAGCATTGCAAGCTAAGCATTTTGGTTTTGAATAAAATAGGAAATTTGAAAACGTAGTTAAGGTATAATAACATTGCAATAAAGAGATACCATAAGGTTTAGCTGAAAATGAAATTTGGGATTTTTATTCAGAAAAAGAGTTTCTATGAAAGACGGTAAAAATACGCGCCCCCTGGCTCCATACCCTAAAGTATAAATTTGAGCCCGAAAATGTTTCATAACGTCTTGACGAATTCTCAAATTTTTAAGTGAAAATTTAACCAATTTGCGGAAATATAAATTCTAAGGCAATTGTAAGCTGCTTTTTGACCCGAACGCGGAAGTAAAATTAGAATGCTTCCTCGTACAATTAATCTCATATAACCAACGAATATTGCGGAAGTCTCAAATTTAGAATGAAAATGTAAAATCCGCTTATTTTAACCTAAAGCTATCTTTGAAATAGCCTTGAATGGCAAATATGCACAATTGCGCCGCGACAGATATGTAAGCTGCCTTTTGACCCGAACCGGGAAGTAAAACTAGAATACTTCCGTATACAAGTAATCTCATCTAACCAACATATTTTGCTGATGTCTCAAATTTAGATGGAAAGTGTAAAATCAGCATATTTTAACCCAAAATTAGCTTTGAAATGGCGTAACAAGGGGAAAAGGTACCAAAAAGTTCATGAAAGCAATATCTTCCTCGTGACCCCATTTACCCACTCCAATCAATATTATGGAATGAATAACACGGTTTCAAATAACCAATAACTAAGGGTCACGAAGCCATCGGGTAATTCGAGCCATTCCTGTACATGTGCGAGTCTTTTACCTTGATTTGATTCTTATCTGGGATGAGGTCTTCGTTAGGATTGGTTTGTGGTAATTAGGGTGTGAATAATTACTGAAAGAGTTCAAAAGGGAGAAATAAAGTTTACCTGTGAGAGAGGAAAGGTGATAATATGGTGTTAGTGATTATATTTCAATTTCAGTTTTGTCTTCAAATTATTTGTTATTAATAAATCTTTTCTTATCAACTTTTTTACCCACCAACACACGCAAGAGCAATAAAATTGGGGCCTGTCCGTTAAATATTTTGTTAGCTGCCCGTAGTTCTTCTAGTCTTTAATCACTAAGTCACCGTGCCCACCATATGGCATCGATTTTGAGAATCTAACACTCTTTATTTCCTTTTCAGCCGTTCAGCGAGGACGTATGCCTCCGACACAGCCCCACCCGGGACAATATGCCATAACAAACGGAGAACCAACTTTAGGACACGGATATCTCTCTGGGTACATATCCCTCTTACTACGAGCCGAACCGTACCCCACATCTCGTTTTGGGTTACAGTGCCATACCCCTAACCAAATAATGGGGATAGACAATATATGTGAACTAGCCGCTCGGCTCCTATTTTCCGCAGTCGAGTGGGCTAGAAATATCCCATTTTTCCCGGACCTACAGGTCACAGACCAAGTGGCGATGCTAAAATGGGTTTGGAGCGAACTTTTTGTCCTAAACGCGGCCCAGTGCCACATGCCACTCCATGTAGCTCCTCTTCTTGCAGCCGCTGGGCTTCATACTTCAATGAGCGCGGATCGAGTTATGGCATTCATGGACAACATCCGGGTTTTTCAAGACCAGGTCGAAAAGCTAAAAGCTCTCCATGTCGATTCTGCTGAATATTCCTGCCTTAAAGCGATTGTTCTATTCACAGCAGGTACGTCATACTATATTGATTACGTCATCATTTCACGCTTGGATGATCTGGAACTTATTATTAATCGTTAGTTCGGCATCCCCACATTGAGCAAGGCTCTATGTGTATACAAATTAGCCCCTGACTATATACAGGGCGGGCCAAAATAACATTCTGACAGAGTGTAAAAATGGTAACATTTTAATAACATAAAAATAATTTGGGGGTCAACAAATTATACATGGGAATTATTAATTTAAAAAGGTCCTTATTACGTGCTGCCCGGGGCGATGGTACTCCCGTAGTATGTGTACCAGGTGAGGGTTAGGCCATAATTTTATTCCGATTTTCCTTATTCATGTCTTTTACGAGTGAGTTCGGGGACTGTCTGTGTTAGCCAAGTGAATATTCCCTCCGCCTATAGGTTTCAGTCCCTTCACACAACTTGATGTAAAATGGGCGAACAAAAACAGTTACCGCCATATTGGTTGGTACACATACTTCTGGAGCGCCGGGCCGACTGCCCATATGCCCCCCAATAAACACTCCCCAAGGCCCTCATACGTGGACACGGCGCGAACTTTACGCGGGAAGCATACAAAGTTTAAAAGTGACAGTAATCAAGCTAATATCACTTTCATTTTCAATCGCCCTGGCCGCAACCGAGGCAAGGTCAATGACTTTCTAACCTAATTATTGTGGTGGTTAGACTTATGAAATATTTAAAGTTCATTTCGGTAAAACTTGTTTCAGTCGAAATTGCCGCGCGCGGGAAAGTTTTGACGAATATTAATCAAGAAACAATGGCACGTCACAATGATGTCTGTGAGCTGGGCACTGTGAGGTTACAATACCGTGGCACTCTAGCTGATGACCAGTTACATTTCTCCAAATATTTTAAATTGAGCGTTGAATATTAATGAGAGTTTACATTGAGAACAATTCTGAAATTAGCGCTATCGCGATTTTGAAAATTTGGATTGCAGAAACTTTATTAATTTTCCTTAGGGCCTGACATTCCGATAATAGAATAACTAATTATCTAATTATTTACCTAATGGTCGCCGCCATATTGTTTTTATTTTTTTGGCCGACTCTGATAAGCCTTGTTTTTAGGAATTTTTTCTGACTGTGATTATGTCATAAAGCACGCTATGGGCTTCGCAGAGTTCAGTTATTCTGTCAAATTACTATCGAAAATATCCAATATGCTGTGTTCGGAATCCAAGCCCGCATTTAACTGCGATACAAATGATTGTGGCATTACAGACGTTTAAATAGTTAGCAAAACAACTTGAGAACAAGGAGGTTGGTAGCTTACTTCAAGTTTTCAAGATATTAATATTCCGAATTCTTTGTTTCGAAAATCTCTTATTCTGAGGGATATGGACGGATTCAAAGTTCAAAAATATAGCCCTTTCTAAATCCCCATTTCTTCTCCGCAAATAAGCGAATTTGATTCGCCCAAAATAAACGAAAACAGCAGCTCATGCGAACATATTTTAATTGCCTCACGATCGTTTGAGTTTAATCAGGTAAATTTACCGGATTCGGGGATTATTGTTTTATGAATCCCTTATTCAGATGGGTTCGTAGTTTGCCCATGTCAGTTATAGACCCATTCCAATGCGCACTAAAAAACTTCATTCACAAATTTTTGAGAAGAACGACCGTTTGTGAAAACAACATTTACAATGCATCGCGGTCGCCGATGAACGTGAATAACAAATTAGTCAGCTCACGCGTATATTGTAAAAAAGATCGATATAATAACTGTAATTTCTGGGTATTGCTAAATGACACTTTCGTACGATTTCCTTAGGTTTTGGAGCTTTCGGTTGAAAAAATGATAAACAAATAGAAACTGATACAGCATTGGTACAATTTTAGAAAATTTTAAATCGTCTTCACGAACGAAGCGCTAGACAGGGGGTGGGCAAGATTTGTGGGCCAGGGGCCGAAAATGTTTTCCACCTGGACTGGTTGGTCATGTAAGTGTGACGTAATAAGTTCCATTTTATGAACAATATTTACAGTGTTACAAATCAAATTCCCAACGCTAACCTCTAATCCAATTGGATAATTACTAGTTTGCTAATTAAAAAGGTTGAGGGGGTAGTTTTCTCAATTCTCACATATTTGCATTAGTGGAGGAGGCTTTGTGCAAAAGATCTGTAGTACTTAGAAGATTACTCAAACTGCGCGGTGAAATTACAATGAAATTCTGTTAATTTAACTATTTTTGCTATCATTGTTATACTAATCCAACTATGGCCCTTGATAATATAAGTATGATCTTATCAGTGCCGTCAAGCTAATTTGAATGACGTTAAATTGTCCCCGGACATCATTCTGAAATGTACTGTAAATAAACATTCGTGGGAGACTGAGTTTACGGAAACGAGAAGCATCGTGAGTGCACCTCAACCTTTTACTTTACATTCCTCATTTGCCAATATTACCCCCCTCCCCCCTTTTATTGGATCATTAGCAAATGATACGCGCTCTTTGTACCGTTTTGAATAAGTTTATGTGTGCATTGATATGCGTTGCAATTGAATAAAGGAATGATATAACACTAGATCCTGATACAAATTATCTCCACTATCATTATGTTGTAAACTGCTCGTCGGAGGAAGTCTGATTTTTGTCAGACAAAACATTACAGAAATACATTTGTGTTAGTGTGCGGCAGGACTCTTGATTGCATAGTATGGTCATGTTTATTCCTGTTACAGCATCCTTGCATTATCGGATTCACTAGCATAAAGGCATATAAGAAGGATATGGAGTTAGTTTAGCGCAACCCAACTCATAACAGTTCGAATGCTTTTATTCCCCAGGTGTTTCGCTTTTATCGTATCATAATCCAGAAAGTTTTTGGTATTATTCGGAAATAAAGCTAACAAAATAAATGATCACCTGTCATTCATACGTCACATTGCTTATTTTAATCACGTGACTAGCGTCTCATTTATGCGGACAGCCCCCATGGGCCGGCACTTAAAGATATACGGTCAGCACGAACGCCATATGGTCATCTTAAATATTCTTTTTGTTAAAATTTAAATTGCAAAAACCAAAAATATGCAATGGGCAGCTAAAAAGGTGTACTAAATTATGCATAAGGTCTTGAGGCCAAGCGATATAGGCAAACGCTTAGTGATATCCGCTTAAATATACTGAAAATATCGATCCCCATATCGCATCGATTCACGTTAGAAGCTGACCATCGCGTGACGTCAGTAAATTATGATGTAATTTTTAAAACGTGGCCCTAAAAATCGAACTTTCTGTCTATTTGTGCCATCCAAATAGCTTTTATGTGGAAAGCATTTAAATACGATTGAGGCCATACATCGATCTAACCAGCTTTCAATATGGAATAATATTATTTGCAGGAAGCTATTAGGTCTTGGATGTATAAAATTTCAATGTGCTCGGGGAAAAAATTTCATTTTCAAAAAACAAAATAACTAAAAAAAGGGGGATTCATAAATTTCCTAATTCTACAAAATGAAGAAAATTTAGCCAACACTTGAACTTCTGTTTGTGTATGATTATGCCCGAAAGTTTCAATGATCTAGGACACTTTCACAAAAGTTTTCTCTGTTTTCTCTAGAATATGTTCCAAATGACCTGGGTACTGCCTATTATTACCTGGTTATAATTTTGGGGTTATCTTGTATGAGGAACCCTCTTGTATATATTTGTCGGTGACGCACACTTTTACACGTACACAGGCTAATTTGCAAAGCCGATCATTGCTAATTAAAGCAAGGCATAGGGGAAAGGTTCGAATCGTCGCGTTTTAAAGTCAATTGATTCAGTTTAATGCGACTTAAATCGATGTAAATCTACCCGTATCACTCGTTGTGGTTTTGGTTTGAGAAATCCAGTTTCGGTTTTCTTGGAATTTTGGAATTTAAAAGTAGTTGGGTTTCTAGAAGACCAAAACGCATCGAATATTTTGATAAATTTGAAAACATTTCGAAAAATTTATTAATTTCAGCTGTCCCCAGTTTCAAATAATCGTTTTGATTCTAATCTTTCTAAAATGATGCAGTAACACTTCAAGTATTATTATTAATTTACACCTTTTCCTTTCAATTTGTAAACTCCGATCTCTCGTATTGCCAAGCATCTTGACAAGTAAACATAACCATGCGCGTCAGTGTTTGAGCATTTCGTAAAAATCTGTTTTCTGGTGTTACTTGTAAAAACAATAAACATTGATTACTTGAGTTTTCACGCTGACTCCGATTTGGGTGATTTTATTATACGACGAATCTATGCCCTTTTCCCTCAAACAAGACACTCTACAAATATCCACCCTCAAAAAAAATTGTAAAATTGAACGTAACATTAAAATACGATCGCAAAGTAAGAGAGAATGGAAATATCATTTCGGAAGAAATTTCCAAAACATTTATTGTTCGAGTTCACTGAAGTAGACGAAGATTGCGATTGTTAATTAAATCGTTCTACAGTTTGGGTCTGCTTCCCCTACAACGTGCTGTCCCTATGTTAAGCATGACCCTGCCCTGATTGTACAGAGCCTTGCCAACGCATTGTTGCAATCTCAATTGAGTACTTATAAATTCATCCAGAGAACAGGTACATCCAATAAAAAGTCCGTTTATGCTAAAATAAAAAGCGCTGGGCATTAAAATTTTACGATCTATTACACGGTTGTAATAGATAAGCGATATTTAGTGCGTAGGTGGAATAAATTTAAAAATGGCGTCGTTCGTTGTGTTGGCGATATCATTACGAGGGTGACTCATGCAGCATAAGGGCTTCCCCAAGAGGCATATGCTGCTGATTAGCTTATGTAGCAAAGTGCGCAACCGTGAGTTGTTATATTCTACTGTTCATAAAACCGAATAACTTTGTCTTAACGCGCTAATGCTAATGTAGCAAATAATGCGACCGTGAGTTGTTATATTTTCAGTTTTATGGAACACAATGACCGTGACTTTGCGTGGTTATGTTAATGTAGTAAAGAGTGCGACTGTGAG